AGAACGATGTTGCAGGGAGCAGTATCAGGCTATGGGTCTTCATCTTTGAACAATATCTTTCTACGTCTTCAATGGAGATGCTTCCAATGGTGGATATGGCGTAAATGTTAGTGATGAGTATGGACGAGGAAGCCATCTGTTGGGGTAAGGATCATGGTGCCATTCTTCAATGGAGTTGGTCAAAATGGTGGAAATGGTGGTAATTGTTTGTAACTAAATTAAAAGAGGAAGCCATGGTTGCTAGCCAAATCACAAAATTTCTCACGGTGGAAATGGGCTAGGTGACTCCATCCGGCCCTAAAAAACTTCAGCTTGGCGATAAAATGTGCCCCGGCAACCATGGCCCGAGGTAGGACTTGGCTGGGGCTTGGGCCATGCCAATCTGGTCCGGCCTGGCCCTTTTTTCTCTTTGATCTTTCTCTTGTTTATGTGGCTCGGCCCGGCCCTAATGGGGTTAAGGCCAGGCTTGGGCTTGGGCTAGCACTTTTTTTGGGCCGGCTTGATGAGGACTAGAGCTGGGCTAGGGTTAGGGGTGGCCCGGCCTGTGCCACCCATCCATCATCATATTTTAATGAAAAAAGACATATTTCGACTTTGGAAGTTAATAAAAATGTGGGTAGTTTTGTCATCTGGCGAAGGGCACTCCACTGGAACCTAATGATATAGGATGACGATGGGTACCCTTTGCTTGTCTTTGTTTCTCAATTGGATCAAGGCTTTCTTATATAAGAATATGAGCAAAATGCACGTGCTCCGCACATGTTTTTATATAAATAACTGTAATAGTTAAAAAAATTCTAAAAGTATGTAAAAATTCAAATATTATGCTTCTCAAAATGAGATATCAAAATATTGGTATTATAAAATAAACTACAAAAAGAATATATAAGAATTCAAATGTCATGTTAATTTCTAATTTTCAAATATTAAAAATTAAAAGAAAAAAAGTACTGCGTTAATTTTATTCAAAAATCTAAAAGTAAGAACTGTGCTATTTTTAAAAATAAGTTCTCTTAATTTTAGATTTTCAATATCCAAAAAATTACGAAAAACCTTAATGATATTTTTCAAAGTTATTTTATTTTTATTTTCTTGTTTCTTTTCTTTCATTTTTATATTATCAGGCACAACTTGTATGGTGACTCCATTGAGGAATCTTCACCCCATTTTTGTTTAGATCCGTCTTTTTTTCATATTTTTTTTGTTATTTTTTAGGATGTCTTGACTTGCAGAGATGGGTTCAACTCTCGGGTTTTATTTCTTGATTTTGCCATCATGCTCCCACGTCCTTGCACCCAGTGTTTGGAGGCAGTACCAGTAGTGTGAGTTACATACTTGCTGGCACTATTATGATACTCACCAACACTGTGTGCCACCCCATCACCCGTCGTAGAAACCCACTTGCGGTGTAGTTGCTCGTCCACACACAAGCTTTGGGGGCCTAGCCAGCAGTCTACATACACACTCTGGTGGCCTAGCCTCCAATCGCCACACACGCACTGGCGGCCCCCAAACACACCCGGGGACTTAGCCACGGGTCTTTCTTTGCCCACCAATAGTTTAGCCATCATTTCCCATTCTACTGCCATCCTAAACACCCAGCACCATCGGTTCCCAATTTTCATATCCTCTCCATTCATAGCACTGGTCCATATTCTACCACCCCGGGTGCCCTTAGAGTTAGTACTTTCGGTCCCCCTAGATCTAACAGCGCTAGTCCATCTTTGTCCATCACCGCAGGCCTAACCCCATGCACATCGCCAGTCCCTAGAGCCATACACCACTGGTCATCCCCTCCCTCAACACTGCACTGTCGGGCCCCCATTTAATAGCACCATCATTCACCAGTCTTCTCAACCTAGCAGAACCAATCCCAGCACCATCGATCCCCCATGTCCGAGCACTGCAGGTCTCCAACATTGTAGCACTGCTAGTCTCCCTTGACCTCGTACAATGTGAAAGCCCCTGGTCATCCTTGTCCTGCTCATTCTCTAGCTCATGTGCCTATGAGCTGGGCTAATCGTCACCTTACTCACATTTTCTCAATTGGTATCGACAGGAGCTTTTACCCCCATAGAACCAAGAAAGACTTCTGGACCAAGTGTGTCTTTCATGGCACCCCAACGGGCTATCACTTCTAACCTTCTGCCCTTTGGGGGCAGAGTGCGGGGCAAATGGGCCAAGCTGTCCAGGTCTTATATGGAACACAGGGGATCAAATGCCCCCAGCCAAAGCCCTTGACATCAAACCCCCTAACCTCAAAGATTTTGGTCCTTAAGATTGTGGCCATGATCAGCGTGTCTTCAGAAAAGCAGAATGTTTTGCTTGTATCTCAAAATAGTGCTTATTGGTAAAAGTTTTTTGCAAACCCCATGAGGTCCCAACTGACAAAGTATATTGCTTGTTTAGGTGGAATTTGGCACCTCCTAAACTCTTGCCTTAATTCACTTTTGAAAAGAGTTAAAGCTTACCTTGAGAATATTTCTTAGGATAAACCAGGCACTTTAGTGCAAGATTTAGACTAATAAATTTAATAAAGTAGTTCGATACTAGGGAAACTTCACCTTCCAGGAATCATTTGTGCTCTAGAAGTCTTTATTGCTAGTAATCCTTCTTTTAAAATATGCCCAAGGTAAAACCTTGATATGCACACTTTCTTTTGGATATACTTCAGTGTCCATCTCAACAATGTCTAATGCACTCTGGTGTATGAAATACTTTCATGACAACCAATACTTTCATGAGTATACTTAGCCAGATACCCCCTTACGAGCCGAAACCCACAGGGAAAGATTGCAGATGCTGCCTCCTGTATCATGGCACGTGGTAAAGCCGCTAAAAAGGGAGCACATAAATCTCACAGCTAAAGGCCAAAGAGTAGGGGAGCCATTGTAATACCAGAGCCTATCTCCTGAATGGACAGAGAAGACGGGGTCAAGAGATAATTTACTCATGCAAGGGAGCAAAGCTAGTTCAAGCATCATTCGCAGGCCAAGCCTCTACCAATCATCAATTGTGTCAACGGTTAAGATGGAACGTTATTTCAAATAGGGCCCCTTGTGATGGTTTTTGGTTCATACCATTAAAGACTTTAAGATTTGATAGCACAGTTTAAAAGATGGGCTTATTATTGAACATATACAAGCTGAGCATAACAACAATATTTCACGAATTGTAAATTAATATTAAAATCACTTTATCTTGAATTATTTATTATGTATTTTTAAATAAATTTGGTGATGGTCTTGGGATCATCATGACTTATTATGCCTGTGAAGACCCATAACGGAAACAGGTTCTCACAAAGCATTCCACCGGTGCTATGAGAAAGTAAGTGGCCCATGTAGAAACAGGTTCTCACAAAGCATTCCACCAATGCTATTTTGTGAGGAAACGGGCGCATACTAAAGAAGTAAGACACCGGTTTCCTGAGGGTACATCCAATGTTTTGGAATTGGAAGGTTTCTGTAGGAGGAAACTCACATCAACCAACCCCTTAGCTGCCCTATCTTTCACTCCAAAATCGATTTTGGAGAGCAAGAAAATCATGCCGTTTATTTTTTCTTTATTCTTTTTTTTGTTTTCGTGAATAAGTGGAAATAACGGGCCCCTACAAGGGGCCAATGTTGAGTTAGCTGCCGAGTGCAAGCAAAACTCTATTTAAAATTATTTTTTAGAAATACCCCCAGTTTTTCGATTTAAGTTTTGAAAGGTGTAATTTTAAAAAAGAAAAAAATTATATAAGGTTGCAACCTTAAAATATAGAATTAAAGATGCACCATAAAAATCTATTGAAAACGGTTGTTTTAATGTTGAAAAACCCTTTAATTGATCATTTTGACATCGAGATGTATGAATATGGAAAAAAAAAAAAATCCCAAAAAAAAATCCTTTGAAAAAGGTTGTTTTAATATTGAAAAACCCTTTAATTGATCATTTTGATATCGAGACGTATGAATATGAAAAAAAAAAAAAAAATCGAATCCCAAAAATGGTACATCTTGCAACACATTATCTAGATTGACCATTTTCAAGATTTTCATATGTTTATAGATCTACTTGATTTTTACCATTTTTGGAGTTTAAAATTTAGAAGGACCATCACACCAAGTGACGGTAAAAGCCTCGGGTAGCCAATGCCAGGGCGCGGGTTCGAATTTTGAGAGCAACCACTTTGTGTATAAGCCAAAGATTAGAACCATTTCCAACCCACCCCTCCCAAGACCCTACTAGACCAGCACCAGGGTATGGCCCTTTGGAGTTTAAAATTTTATGATTAGAGATGAAAAGAGATTTTAAATTATCTTAAAAAAATTTTACATCAAAATTTCGTGTTAAGATAAAATTTGAAAGTGTTAAGATAAAATTTGAAAGTGCACCTTAACTGGATTGTCTAAGGTTGCAACTACAAACCACACCCTTTTAAAAATAATCCCAAAAAAGTTGAATTTTTAAGAAAATGAGTTATCGTGCTATTACATTTTTTTAAGATAACTTTTCGAAAAAACTCTGAAAAATCGTATTGAAATATCAATTAACCCCTTTCTGGTTGCATAAATGCTCTAAAGCCCATATATATAGCCGTTTGTTTGTCTAGTTTCTGTACTGACATTTTTGTGTACACGTACCAGAATAAGAAAGAGGGACCAACTAACCATAATCATAATTATATAAAGGGAAAAGTTTATATAGAGCCAAGGCTCTAAACAATCAAATTTGAGCCTACCTCAAAAATTTCACTAGAAAAGGTTGTTTTGATGCTAAAATATCCTCAAATTGATCATCTCGACATCAAAAAGCATGAACATGAGAGAAAAAATAGATTTCAAGTTTTGGAAATAGTATATTTTGTAACACATTTTTGGACCATCAATTTTCAAGTTTTCATAGCTCTATCAATCTACACTATTTTTGAAGCCTTAAACTTTATAAATAAAGATGAAAATATATTTTAAGGCTATCACAAATATTTTCAATATTGAAACTACATTTCTCGACACTATTTGAAAGAAGGCTTTAATTTGATTGTTTGAAGCCGAGGCTCTATACAAACCGCACCCTTATATAAAACGCTGATTACTTTTATTAACATTTACTAGCAATACCAAGTCTTTCACATTCTTCACCGTCACATAATTCCCATTCAATTGCTTACCCATCAGATTCAGAGCTTGCTCTTTTTCTGCAGTGTGAGGCTTCCCATCGCCTTCGCTCTTTCCTTCAAAACGAACTTTTGAATTTTTCCAGTTGAAGTCTTCAGCAAATCCCCAAAGACAACAGTCTTTGGCACCATATAATGTGGCAGCTTTTCACGACAGTAGGCAATGATCTCCTCTTTCGTGGCATCGAACCCCTCCTTGAGCTTCACAAAGGCACAGGGTGTCTCACCCCAGTGTTCATCTGGCCGGCCCACCACTGCTGCCTCGAACACACAATTATGCGCATAGAGCACTGACTCCACCTCTATGGTGCTTATGTTCTCTCCACCTGAAATTATAATATCCTTGGAGCGATCCTTCAACTCAATGTACCCATCAGGGTGCCTAACACCCAGGTCCCCGCTCCTAAACCACCCTCCAGCTAAAGCCTCCTGAGTAGCTTTCCCATTCTTATAATACCCACTCATAATTGTATTGCCCCTAAACATCACCTCCCCTAAGCTCTTTCCGTCAGCAGGGACGCTTTTCATAGTAACAGGGTCCTTTACATCAACCTCTGCAAGCCCCAAGTGGTGCAACCCTTGTCTTGATTTAAGTCTTGCCCTTTGCTCTAGGGGCAGGGCATCCCAGTCTGGCTTCCATGCACACACTGTGGCGGGCCCATAGGTCTCTGTAAGCCCATAAGAATGAGTGAGGCTAAAACCCATTTCCTCGATTGCAAAGAGGACCTTTGTGGGCGGAGGAGCTGCCCCTACAATGATGTGTGCCTTATGTTGGAATGTGCGACGGTGCTCCCGTGGAGTGTGGATGAGCATGTTGAGCACTGTGGGCGCGCCACCCATGTGGGTTACTTTATGCATAGCTATGCTCTCAAATATTACCTCAGGTGTGACGTTCCGGATGCACACATTGGCCCCGCCTTGGGCCGCCACCCCCCATGTGAAGCACCACCCGTTGCAATGGAACATGGGCACGGTCCATAGGAACACTGGCATCAAGCCCATCTCCACCATGAGCACTGATACAAGCGCATTGAGGAATGCTCCACGGTGAGTATAAACCACCCCCTTGGGCCTTGATGTAGTGCCTGAGGTGTAGTTTATGGAGATGGGTAGGCACTCATCAATTGGCCATATGACTGTAAAGTTGGGGTTCGCTTCCCTCAATAAAGTTTCGTAATTGGGGAACTCAGATTGGGCTGAAAGGATGGGTGCCGAGCTTTGGAGGAGTTCAGAAATGAGTACGAGTTGAGGGGGTGTACAAGTTTGGGAGATGAGTATGAGAACTTCCTGAGCGAGTTCCAAGAATTGGTAATCCACAAAGATGACCTTGGCACCAGAATGCTTGAGGAGAATTGACAGCATGGAAGCGTCATGGCGTATGTTGAGGGTACATAAGATTGCACCAGCCATTGGCACTCCAAAGTGTAGCTCATACATTGCTGGAATGTTCGGGGCTAGTGCAGCTACCTTGAAAAAACAAAGTGAAATTCATGTCTCATAATTATAATGGAAGACGGCTGCAATCTGCTAAGACAAAACCAAAACTAATTCTAAAATGTACTCTAAAATGTATTAAAAATAAAAAATATATTATTATCACAGTGATTTATGTGGATCAAGCAATTCAAATAAAACAGATGAAGCGAACAAGCTAATAGACCTCAACACCCGCACTAGAGGTTCAGTTATAGAAGCAATATGGTTACATCTAGCCCAGAACCTCCGATCGACAAGGATGGTTTCAACCTGCTATTCATGTTGACTCATTGTTGTCCTATCAGTCTACCATTCATTAGAGCGTATCATTGACGTCAATCCTTCTTTGTTGACCAATATCGATTGTATAGTAAGGACCGTTGTAGCGAACCTAATAGTGGACTCCCTGACAATCTCTCGCATGCAATGCTCCCTCATCAAAGTATGGAGGTACATGTGATTGTATATGAATCTTGTAATCAGTTTGCACTCCAAAATACAAGTTTTAACCCTCTTCAGCTTCCCTATTTCTTAAGTATCAAATTAATACAATGGGCAACACAAGGAGTCCAACAAAGATTGAGTCTTCCCTCCATTAGCAACAAGCCTGTTTTTCTGTAGTTCACAGCATTATCAGTCACTATTTGGACTGCATTTTCAGGCCTAACCTCATCTACAATTTTGTCTAAGCGTGTGCATATCAGTCTTCCAGTATGTTTCTTTCTTGATATCTCAATGCTAGAGTGGTAAACAATGCCCCTAGGGCAACTTATTAAAAAATTGACAAGATGCCTATGGGACTTGTCCTTCGAACCGTCTGTCATGATGGTCACTCTTGTACTTGGCCAACAGACCTTGAACTGCGTAATATGTTTATCGACATCATGACCAACAGCTTCTAAATATGGCCCGGCAAGCGTATCCACAGTTGGACCTCTAACACTCGGCCCTGCCTCAGCTATAGAAGCTACAATCTGTGGGTAGAAGTCTAAGCTCGCAGAATTAAATGGCAGCACATTAGCATACCAGACCATGCTAACCATCTTTCTCGCCTCTTTTATTAATATACCTACTGATGGAAATTTTTTTTTTTTGATAATATTGTGGCTTGTGGGAATCAAGTCCAGAGGGATCGTGGCTCATTGGTGGCACATCTATGGGTTCATGTCGTTGAGTAGTAGATGGCTGACTATATGAGGATGGGCGACTAGAGAAACTATGTCTCATTCTACTAGATGTGGACCTAAGCAATGAAGGCCCGCATCCTCCCCTACCCAGTACTACAGGTTGTTGAGGCTGACGGCTATTGGAGGCACCATCCCTTCTCCCATACATCTCTTGAATTTCTATTTGTCTATAATTCAGCTCTTAAAGGCTAACAATCCTAGCTCGTTCCATTTGCGCCTTGAACTCTGCTTCTTGATCCTCATCCTCATCTACTGGACTTTCGTACTCCTTCCCTACCTCCTTCGTATCTCTTTCTCTCAGCACTTTTTTTCCTTTTCATCCATAATTAATTTTAACATTTGTTGTTTTATTATCGGTGGCACTTTTTTACAACAGGTGATACTACTTATTACCCAAGCGAGGTGTTCTTTTATGCGATAAATACCAGCACCTATTTCCTTGTTACAAAAATTACATCGAGTTCTTCCTTTATCATTCACTTTTGTGCCATACTGCCATGCCACAACTCCCCTCCTCATCTTATATTTTCTTGTAAATTTTCCTAAACATAAAAGTTCATTAAAAAAATATTTATTTGGGAAGATCACTCAACCAAGGGGACCTTGTAAGCATGGCGCTATCATAACAAAGATTACATTGCATGTATATCAACAAGAAAAAAATACCTTGCAAGCATGGCGATATCATAACAAAGATTAATTTACATGTATATCAACAAGAAAAAAAGAAAAAAACAAAGCAATAATTAAGAATGCAGAGCCCCATTCAAAATTAAGAATGCAGAGTGTAATAACTTTGCTAAATATAAGAGGAAAAAGTTTATATAAAGTTGAGGCCCCAAACAATCAAATTAGGCGCACCTCAAAAATTCACTAGAAGAGGTTGTTTCGATGTTGAAAAACCCTCACATGGATCATCTCGACCTTAAAATGTATAGACGAGAAAAAAATGGATTTTACGTCTGGGAAATAGTGCATCTAGTAATGTATTATCTAAGCCATCAATTTTTAATATTTTCAAATGTTTATAGATCTACTCAATCTCCACTTTTTTTGAAGCTTTAACTTTTACAATTAGAGATAAAAATAAATTTTCAGACCATCACAATGATTTTTGCCACTAAAAGATTATCTTTCAACACTATTTAGATGTATACCTTTCTTTGATTGTTTAAGGCCTCAACCTTATACAAACCACACCCATATAAGAATTATCTTAAAGATCATGGGCAAAGCATCAAAACATCTATTTCATAATAACGCAAACCAAATCACTTCTCCACGAAAAAAACTGTAGCCCAATTTTTTCTTTTTTGCTTTGCTAAATAAAAAATTTGTTATCTTAAAGAAAATGGATGGCATCATAATAAAGAACAAACCACTTCCCTATGAAAACACATTTTCTCATTTTTTCATTTTTGGTTTGCTAAATAAAAGGGTTGTTATCTAAATATCATGGGCTAATTTTCAGTCACAGGCATGATAACAACAACCAAACAAGAAGGGAACATGGAGGCTGCTGATTGTTAATAGTTCACTGTATCATAAATGTAGCACCATATTATAAACATCCACAACTTCATGATCCTGATCAGTTGTAGGCATCTCAAAGATCAGAACAATCACAGTTCCAGTAAACGTGCTTCATAACTAATCAAATATACTAATTTGATAACAACTGTCAAATTTTATTATGAAGAAACAATCTAAAATGCGAATAGGCATGCTTGCTTGGAATATAAATATCTCTCTATCGATCTACCACATATAAAAAGAATTATAAAACAGCCCCAATTCACTAAAGTCCATCATAAAGCAAATAAAATAAAAGAAGGGTTGAACTCACAACAGCTCCTTGTGAAATACCGAGCCCGGAGAGTGCAGAAGCAAGCCTACGACATCGATCCAGTGTTTCACCCCAATTGAACCTCAGACTCCCATATATAACAGAAGTATTCTCTCTGTAAACAATCCCTGCTCTCTCAATAAAAGAAATAGGAGAAAGTGGCACATAATTCGCCCCATTCCTAATTGTCCCCTCCATCACTTCCTTCACCCACCCAATAACTAAAACCCAAGAGGAAAATCCTCGAAATTCAGGTCTTTCAGCTCTTTCTCTCCGTCTAAAAACCCATAAAAAGCAAGGGAAGGAACACAAAAGTTTCAGAAGAGAGAGAGTAGCAGGAGCACTGAAAAGAAAGATAGCTAAATTTACAAAGAGAAAGTACAATCTATCAACCTAAAAACAAATTTAGAGAGAAAAAGTACAGAAATATTTAGCGAGAGAAATTTACGGATAACAAGAACAATGGCAATAGAGCAGAGAGAGAGAGAGAGAGAGAGAGAGAGAGAGAGAGAACGCGACGGACGGTAGTGAGACGGAGGACGACGACACGAGGAGGAG